TCGTGCACACACACACACACTGCTGTATCCTAACAGTCGCACACACACACACACACTGCTGTATCCTAACAGTCGCACACACACACACACTGCTGTATCCTAACAGTCGCACACACACACACACACTGCTGTATCCTAACAGTCGCACACACACACACACTGCTGTATCCCTAACAGTCTGCACACACACACACACTGCTGTATCCTAACAGTCGTGCACTACACACACACACTGCTGTATCCTAACAGTCGTGCACACACACACACACTGCTGTATCCTAACAGTCGTGCACACACACACACACTGCTGGTATCCTAAACAGTCGTGCACACACACACACACACTGCTGTATCCTAACAGTCGTGCACACACACACACACACTGCTGTATCCTAACAGTCGTGCACACACACACACACACTGCTGTATCCTAACAGTCGTGCACACACACACACACACTGCTGTATCCTAACAGTCGTGCACACACACACACTGCTGTATCCTAACAGTCGCACACACACACACACTGCTGTATCCTAACAGTCGTGCACACACCACACACACACTGCTGTATCCTAACAGTCGTGCACACACACACACACACTGCTGTATCCTAACAGTCGTGCACACACACACACTGCTGTATCTTAACAGTCGTGCACACACACACACACACTGCTGTATCCTAACAGTCGTGCACACACACACACACACTGCTGTATCCTAACAGTCGTGCACACACACACACACACACTGCTGTATCCTAACAGTCGTGCACACACACACACACTGCTGTATCCTAACAGTCGTGCACACACACACACACTGCTGTATCCTAACAGTCGTGCACACACACACACACTGCTGTATCCTAACAGTCGTGCACACACACACACACACACTGCTGTATCCTAACAGTCGTGCACACACACACACACACACTGCTGTATCCTAACAGTCGTGCACACACACACACACACTGCTGTATCCTAACAGTCGTGCACACACACACACACACACTGCTGTATCCTAACAGTCGTGCACACACACACACTGCTGTATCCTAACAGTCGTGCACACACACACACTGCTGTATCCTAACAGTCGTGCACACACACACACACACACTGCTGTATCCTAACAGTCGTGCACACACACACATATGTATATTCATGTGCGCAAACAAGTAATAAAGACTGCTGAATCACATCACGTCTCATTCGCGTAGCGTAGCTTAGCTTAGCTTAGCTTAGCTTAGCTTAGCTTAGCTTACAGATCGGGGATATTTGATAATTCTTATAGACTACAATCACAAAAGCTTTTACATAAAACGCTGGAAAAACGGCACTTACCTACAGAAGATTACGTTTGTTATTATAACTTACTCAATATGATTTTAGAGGATCAAAAATACGAATAAATAGGAGAATAAATACTTGTGGTATCGGCTAGGGCGTAGCTTTACAGCCTTCACACAGATCAACAGGTTAGCACATGCCTGATAGTTTAAATAGAAAAGACTGCGGAGCTTACAAAATGAAATAAAATGTTACAAAAACATATAAACACCCAACCGATTACTGTTTGGGTTTGAGGCGACATTGATACGGCGAAGCTACATGCTACAAGCTACATGCTACAAGCTACGTAGTAGAGATAACTTTATCAGGAAAAACACCGCTAAATAAAAAGGAATGCAAATATTAACATGGAAAAACGTACAGCTTCCAAATTGGATGTGTCTTGGTCCCGGATGGTTGGTATTGATCCAGTTTTTAGCCTTAGATTGGAAGCATATCCTCTTTTCACTTGAGGGAAGTTGATAAACATGTCCGAGGTGTTCTGGCACATTCCCCTTGAGAATGAAGTCCAGCCACAGATTCTTCTGTTTCTCCAGGCATGGCATTGCATGCAGTCCCTGGTCCTGATCTTTGCAGCCAACAACAGCACAACTTTTCACTGCCTTAGACATGCTGGCAAATAACACAGATGGGTTGGCCCATGGCCGTGGATGTGGCCCAACCTCTCATTCCCATGTAGGCGGAGCGTCACCGCCCACTATTCCGGGCTGACGTCGGGTCGGATGGAATCTGTATCCGCTCGTTGCAGCCCCGTTTTTAAAATATTTGGGTATGGAGGAAAATAGAGAGGGTTGTGTTTTCTGACACTTGGTGAGTTCCCTGGAACACCGGGGACACATATTCATGTAGAAAAGACGTGCAAAAGTACATTTTGCATGATAGGTCCCCTTTAAGATAACCCTCAGAGTGATACCTCCTCCTCCATTATAACATGATATAGATGATAGGTATTTAATATAACCCTCAGAGTGATACCTCCTCCTAACCTACCTCCCCAGGATCTGGGCGTGTTCAGTTCGTCTCACCGAAGCGCTCTGAAGCGACGCATCAAAGATCTTCTCTCTGCAGCCGAGAAGGAGAAGAAAGCTCTGAGACAGAAAGAGAAACAACGAAGAAGAGACAACGAGACGCACAGGAACTGACCTCTGACTGACCTCTGACCTCCAACTGACCTCTGATTGACCTCTGACTGACCTCCAACTGACCTCTGATTGACATCTGACTGACCTCTGACCTCCAACTGAGCTCTGACTGACATCTGACCTCTGATTGACCTCTGATTGTGACCTCTGACTGACCTCAGACCTCTGACTGACCTCTGACCTCTGATTGACCTATGATTGACCTTTGACCTCCACAATAAAATGACCATTTCAATAAACAAATCTGTGAAAATCTTTTTGTAGTTTTTATTTTATTTCATGTTCCAAATAATAATTATAATATAAACAATAACTTAAAGTAATAATATTATCGTTAGTATTGTTGTCGTTAGTTGTTGTTGTTGTTGTTTATTATCACACAGAGACAGAAATTACATCTTTATATAACTGATAAACAAATACTTCATTCATGATATTTGATCTTCCAAAGACACAGGAGCTCCGGAGATTAAGCTAACCCTGACCCTTACCCTAACCCTGACCCTTACCCTAACCCTAACCCTAACCCTAACCCTAACCCTAACCCTAACCCTGACCCTAACCCTAACCCTGACCCTAACCCTGACCCTAACCCTAACCCTGACCCTGACCCTAACCCTGACCCTAACCCTAACCCTGACCCTAACCCTAACCCTGACCCTAACCCTAACCCTGACCCTAACCCTGACCCTAACCCTAACCCTGACCCTAACCCTGACCCTAACCCTAACCCTGACCCTAACCCTAACCCTAACCCTAACCCTAATATCAAACATAACAAAATATACACAGCTAGACAGGAGACACCCACAGCCATCCTACCTGCAGAAAGAGATTTGCAAAGACTTCCAAACAAAACTAAAACCCGGAACGTCTTCACCAGGCCTATCTACAACCTACCCAGGTAAGAGCCCATACAGTTTTAATGTTCGAATCCAGAACCCAGTATGTGCAGTTGAGTGGACGTGGAGAGTATGCACAGCCAACACACACTGATATTAACTACACACGTAGAACACCATATCAGCCACTGGAACCAGCCACCAGAAAGCTCACAAAACACTACTTCACACTCATCCAGGCCACACATCATAAATACACCACAGACCAAGCCATTGCCACACATATCTTCCCCCCAGGCATGCTCAGACAAGTCATCAGACTCTCTACATTCATCAGACCATCTACCCCAACTGAGTACACACACACACAGATACATGCCAACACTATAAACTGGATGCATACGAACATGATCATACTGCAACAACATTACAAAAACACACTACATACACCCACACCCTCCCCATTTAACCTTTTAGCTTTCCAGATCGCAACAGGGTGGGCCAGAAAACGCTATGGCCCCAGGCTGACCCAGGAAACTGTAACCACGGTACAAAATTCTTTGAACTCCTCCCCCTCTCACCTCCCCACCCCTTCTCCGTATCCTAAGACCCCCCACCCCATCCCCTACCCTGACCCTAAGTCATTCTGCCCTACTCAGGGCTCCTACTCTAACCTTGTCTTCAACCCCAAACCCCTCCAGGCCTCTCAGCAATCATTGAGAGAGCCTCCCCTTCCCCCTTATCCTAAGCCTAAGGTACCCAGGTCTCCTCAACAGTTCTTTTGGAGGCCTCCCCTTCTCCCCAGCCCTAAACCTAAGCCATTCTCCCTGACTACTCCCACCCCGGAGGTTCCCCTCCCCTCCCCTCCCTTCCCATCCCCCCCTCCCCAGCTGACTAGAAGGACACACCTCTCCCCCAAAAACTATTTTCCTAACATCACCTCTCCTCTGTGTCTCCCCCCTACAGGCGATGCTGGTCTCCGGTCGGGCTCGGCCGGTCGACGGGTCCCTTCAGACCAAACCCAAAATCAGGGAGGGTCCGTGATGAAAGGGACTAAGAGGGTCACACTTAACCACTCACAAACCCACTCTGACCCCTCCCCTGACCCCTCTGCTGGGATCCCGTTGCCCGGCCAGCCCTCTCCGGGGTTCAGCTCGCCTCAAGACCATGGCTCTGGCTCCAGCTGCCCCACCCAGTGGGACACAGAATCCCATTCGTCTGTTGATTTCTCTGAGGATCATAGCCCAGGATCCCCTCAGCCTACAACCAGTCACAAGCACACACACTATCTCTCACTTCCCCCTCTTCTTCCCCCTACCAAGACCAGCTCGCCTTTAGAATTGGGCTCTGGCTCCAGCTGCCCCACCCACTGGGACCCAGACTCCCGTTCTTCTGTTGACTTCTCTGAGGATCATAGCCCAGGATCCCCTCAGCCTACAACTAGTAACAAGCACACACACTTTCCAGAATTGGTCCAAACACCTTTAAAAACTCATATTTGACCTTATGTCAAATAATACACACACACCCATCCACAGATCCTTAGGCCCGTGCAACTTATTCTCAACCGAGAACCCAAAACCCCAATTCAACACAAAAACCTAACCCTAACCCTAACCCTGACCCTAACCCTAACCCTAACCCTGACCCTAACCCTAACCCTAACCCTGACCCTAACCCTGACCCTAACCCTAACCCTAACCCTAACCCTAACCCTAACCCTGACCCTAACCCTGACCCTAACCCTAACCCTAACCCTGACCCTAACCCTAACCCTGACCCTAACCCTGACCCTAACCCTACCTAACCCTGACCCTAACCCTGACCCTAACCCTAACCCTACCCAACCCTAACCCTAACCCTAACCCTAACCCTGACCCGAGGCCTGTACGACGAAGCCGGATGTTCTCTTAGCTGACTTCAGGGAAAACTCTGGGTTTCCGGTCCTACGACGCTGGTTCTCTTTTTAGCGGGCTAGATCTCCATGGTAACTGATGCTGAGCGGCTAACCTCCTCCGGAGCAGGTTAGGTCGCAGGCTAAGAGATCAACTCAGTGAAAGCACCGCCTGCTGACCAATCAGAGCTCACCGCCTGCTGACCAATCAGAGCTCCGTGTGCAGAGTTTAAAGCGATCAAGTCATATTACAGGAGAGAGGAAATACAGAAAAACTGCCGTTGCAGGAAAGACGGCCGGCAAAAATCACTGACTGTGTGAACGTGAAAATTAATAGAATATCCCCTCCCATCTTCAGAGCAATCTGACTATTATAACATTAGCGTTAAGAAAGCTTACTTAAATATCTGCCACGACATAAGTAACCGGATCAGAGTAACATTAAGTACAGTCCGCGGCAGGCGCGCCGGATTCATTTTAGAAGGGGGGGGGGCCAAAAAGTGCGTGTGTATGGCCCAATCCCAAACCACGCCCTACACCCTACCCCTACACACTCCCCCTCCGTGACGGAGTGAACTCCGTGGAGTGACACATGAGGCTCCCTCCTGTCAGATGGAGGGAGTAGATACAGCGGCAAACTTTGGGACAAACTCCCCTCTCTCCGGCAGAAACAGGAAATGCCGTAACTAACGGTATCAAATCAGCATCTCTTTGACAAAAAATGTAAATTAATAACTCAAATAAAACTCCAAACATCTTTAATTGTGTTACTTTTCTGTAAAGCTCTTTTAGTTTTAAACCTGATGTTTATACGTTTCTTAGTTTTTGCAACAGTCTGTAAATATACACAACTTTATAATAAAATGCACACATTGACCTTTTTCTAGACTAAACACAGGTACGATCCTAAGTTAAAACAATATGAGGTTATCATGAGGTTGTTAACATCGCAGTTTATCAGTGGATGTTTGCTGGAAGCACAATAACTGCATGTTTTGCATTGCTTTTAAATGTCAGTTAATATAGTGGTGAGAGACTCCCGATACATTAGATTTATAAGAGTGGGGTTTTTCTCAGCTACGAGTTCTTTTGGAAATTGCTCTCCTTATCCGCCCTGATTATGCCCCCTGATTGCTCTGTCGGGTTAGAAACTGCAGACAGCGCAGCTGCTCCATCATTCCATCTCTTCTTTGTTCCTGCTCAATACGCTGTTGTTTGACAAGCTGTATGTTGACTGGTGTTTGACTGAAGAAAGAGCACTTTAATACACTCTCTGTGGAAATGAGACTTTTCGTGGCTGTCCAGGAGGCTTGTCACTTCTTCCAGTTATTAACTCCGATATTAACAAAGTTATCACCTCCACAGTTTGAGAAAGTTACAAGCCGTTTGACAGCAAACCTGCATATTTCACAGAAGGCCCGTTTAGTGGTTTTGCAAAGAACTAACCACTCTCTGTTTTTGTACCATTCTGCGTTGAAGTACCTTTCTCTTTGCCCAGACGATCTAGCGGTCAGTTAGCTGCAGCTTTACCCGTCTCAATGTCCCGACAACAAACCTCCATGCAGTCGGATGGCGGTGGGGGGTGGCGGCGGCGGTTTTGACAGTCTCTGCGGCCGCAGAGCTGCTGCTTTTGGGTTCATCTGGCTTCGCTGGTTCTATGATTGATGAAGGTCCAGGCTCCGGAGACGTGGATGTCAGGGATGTGACCTTCCAGTTGTTAATTTAAGTTTAGATTGACTGTATTTAGTTTTCTTCTGCGCTGGTTCTTCTGACGTGTTTGCAAGTGTATCTATTCTTTCTATCTGGTTAACGGCTGACACACACAGAACAACGTGACAAATAAAGTAAACAACGTAACAAATAAACAAATCTAAGCTTTTTTATTGGTTGTAATTTACATGGATACATTTGAATGGTTTGGCAATGTCCTATTTGATTGGGTTAAAATGTACATATTCTTCCTGTTATGTCTGCTTTATTTTACCTAATGCAAACCTGCTCCATCGAAATCAGGCGCATTGACCCGAAGACACATTTTGAGTTGCACTGTTGGAAAGAGGAGATTCATAGCTTTCTAATGATATCAGGATTGTTGTTGTTCTCCAAATATTAAGCAAAATATGTCACATGATATAATGACTGTTACAGAGTCATCATTTTGAGAGAAAGGCCTTTAAAGTTTCCTCTTCTCTGGATCCATCTGATTGATTATTAGCGGAGCAAATGATCAAAGTAGTACGAAGGGAAGATAGGGGAAGCCCGCGAGTGAGAGTGTATATACGTGTGTGTTTGTGTATTTTTGCGTTTGTGTGTATTGTGTTTGTTTCCCGGGAAAACACTCAGGAGAAACACCTGCTGTTATGCCTGCAGTGACGTTACGTTACTCCGTTGCTTGTAATTATGTCTACAAGCTTCAAAGCTGTAGTTATCATCTGAATTTGCCAAAACAAGTTTAATATTCTGAAAGCCAAGACTTTGTTTATTTGAAATCAGATAAAAACAAACTGTAACGGACCCTGCCGTGTTATCTATGATTACTATACGCCTTACATTCATAATGTCAGCAGAGGGAGGGGAAGCGGCGTGTGGAACAGCAGAGTGGCGAGTGAGAGCTTTACAAGCTTCAAACATGCCTGTAGCTAATGAGATTGAATATAACAATCAAACATAACAAAATATACACAGCTATCAGATCGCGTTTTAGATGTGACTTTAGAGTAGAGGGGAATTATTGAAACGGGATTTGTACAGTGTTCCACGGCATCCGCCGCTGCGAAAATGTGGGGCAGGGCTGAAAAGCGGGGGGGCCAATGGCCCCCTGGCCCCCCCGCTTCCGGCGCCCTTGGTCCGCGGCACTGTGAGTGCAGACGTCGATGTGTCCCATTATCATTCATATCATATCACATCATAATGTATCATATATTTCCTTATCTGAGTCAGCTGAGCCGTATCTGGCCGTGCAACACTCAGTGTCACATACTGGATGCAGAAGTATTATTTTAAGCAACACATTAAGTTGACGAAACACTGGAGTCAAATGTAATGAAAGTCAGATCGTGTCTTAGACGGGGCAGTGATATCATAAACCTGTTAATGTACGCATTCAAACACTTTCTCTGTTACCAGCTGTATTCACCTTGCAGGTGCAGCTATGTGGCTTTGATCCTGGATAAAGTGTTTAAGTCATGGATGTTTAAAGTGGACCTATCATGCTATATTATAATAATATAGTGTAGGACCATACCTATATAAGGCATATTTATACTTTTTTTTTTTCAAAATACCAAACAGATCATGCATTTTAGCCATGCCTCATTTTGCTCAATTTGACAATTTCTAGCTCTGTTTTAGCAAGGGCAGATTCAGTGAGAACAGCACCACCTACAGGCCTGGCATATGTACTACAGCGTCTCCAGCGCTTTCTAACGGCAATGGCCGTGGCTGTCTCCTCCTGATAGGTGGAGTTGGCCCAATAGCCGTAGCGCCACCGTCCTGACGTCAGGACAGTGTTCAAATCTGGATCAGTTTTTATCAGATCCGTTGCAGCCCCTTTTTTAGAGATTTGGGTATGGAGGAAAATAGAGAGGGTTGTGTTTTCTGACACTTGGTGAGTTCCCTGGAACACCGGGGACACATATTCATGTAGAAAAGACGTACAAAAGTGCATTTTGCATGATAGGTCCCCTTTAAAGTTTAACTTCTTCATATTTGACTAATATTAAAGTTCACTTTTCATTCAGGAAGTATGACGCTGCGCTGTCAGTACGCTTGTCCATGTTTGTGATTGGTCGAATGCTCCAAATACCACCCCTTTCATGTGAACGCGCACCTAACTAGATAGGACACGGCTGGCTTGAGCGATCCACTTGATAACCAGCGTCGTAGTACAGTTTAGCGAGAGCGCGTATGTTTTGGATTGGGCCAACCGGCTAACTCAAACATATCCAGGTTAGGTTGAACCGGCTTCGTAGTACAGGCCTCCGGAGAGCTTCGTTATAAACACAGATTAAAAAACAATAATATAACAACTGTAGAAACACATTTTAATAAATATAAATAAATGTATAAAACAGGCAACAATAAATATTTTAGCATAAATAACAAATATCCGTTATAAATACAAATACTTTAAATAAATACGTATTTTAAAATCTCTTTAAGACATAAATATTAATAAACAGAAGCCCTGACCATTTCCTGTTTCTTTCACAATAAAAGCTAAAATACATTTTCATTACAAGTCTTCAAACTATCAGTAATATCTTTAGTCTTACAACCTTTTACTTTTCAAAATTATTATAAAAAATCCCAAATCTTTTGTGACTCGTGTTTTTTACAAAACAGCAAAACCGTTCAATGTGAACGTAATGAAGTGTGTGTGTGTGTGTGTGTGTGTGTGTGTGTGTGTGTGTGTGTGTGTGTGTGTGTGTGTGTGTGTGTGTGTGTGTGTGTGTGTGTGTGTGTGATTCCGTTCATAATTCAGAGGAAAACTGACCGTCGATTCATAAAAGAATTGTAAAGTATTTCCCATGAGGCATTGCAGGATGACAGATGAAACTGTGTCCGTTAAGGCAGCATGGTGGGCGGGGCTTAGTGTTGGCCTGTAGGCAGTGGGCGGGGCTTAGTGTTTGCCTGTAGATGGTGGGCGGGGCTTATCAGTTTCCTCTAGATGGTGGACGGGGCTTAGAGTTTCCCCGGCGGCCTGCAGGCAGTGCCGGGGCTTAACGTTGGCCTATAGGCAGTGGGCGGGGCTTAGCGTTGGCCTATAGGCAGTGGGCGGGGCTTAGCGTCGGCCTGTAGGCAGTGGGCGGGGCTTAGCGTCGGCCTGTAGGCAGTGGGCGGGGCTTAGCGGTTCCCAGGCAGCTGATAGGCTGCGACGGCCCTCAGGCTGCGGACCAGGTCGTGACAGAACGATCGGAGCTGCGTCAGCGTCAGGTGTGCCGCCACCTGCACCTCGTAGTTACCATGGAGACGGGAGGCCAGGTCCACGCTCTGCCCCTCCCCCACCCCGACCAGGTGAGCCGCCTCCTTCATCTGAAACACAGAAACACCGTCAGCCAATCACAGTGGAGTGGTCAGGTAATCAGATTACATCTTGTGTGTGTGTGTGTGTGTGTGTGTGTGTGTGTGTGTGTGTGTGTGTGTGTGTGTGTGTGTGTGTGTGTGTGTGTGTGTGTGTGTGTGTGTGTGTGAGTTACCTTGTTGATGTGTGTGTGTGTGTGTGTGTGTGTGTGTGTGTGTGTGTGAGTTACCTTGTTGATGTGTGTGTGCAGGTCTCTCAAGTCAGCCCTCAGATCTGATAGGCCGCTCAGCCTCTCTGATAAATCTCCCAGCAGCCCCTGGTACAGCTGGCAGCCGGCTGACATGCGGGTCACACAGACGGCCTGCAGGGGGCGACATGCGTTACACACAGATACACACACAAAACTACACACAGATACACATGGATACACACAGATACACACACAGATACACACAGATACACACACAAAACTACACACAGATACACAGATACACACAGATACACACAGACGGCCTGCAGGGGGCGACACGCGTTACACACAGATACACACAGATACACACACACAGATACACACACACACACACAGATACACAGATACACACACACAGATACACACACACACACACACACAGATACACACATAGATACACAGATACACACATAGATACACAGATACACACACACAGATACACACACACACACACACAGATGCACACACACAGATACACACACACACACACACACAGATACACAGATACACACACACAGATACACACACACACACACACACACATATACACACACAGATACACACATAGATACACAGATACACACACACAGATACACACACACACACACACACACACACACACACACACACACACAGATGCACACACACAGATACACACACACGGATACACACATTAAAGATCAAGGTAAACACATAACATATGTTGAACATACAGGTTTATCACAGTTTAAACACATGACAGTGAATGGATGAGCACTCACCAGGGTGAAGGTCTCTGAGGGCGGCTTGAGGACGGGGGCGGGGGGGATGCCGAGAGACGAGACCATCATCTGCAGGTCTGAGGTCTGTGAGGGGGGGTCGAGGGTCAGACCCTGAGGAGGACATTAAGAGGTCTGTGAGGAGGGGGTTGAGGGTCAGACCCTGAAGAGGACATGAAAAGTCCCATGTCATGCTTTTCTGGTTCTTACCCCTTGTGTTCTGTAGCTTCTGCATGTAAACGCTCTGCAGAGTCACAAACCCTCAAAGTACACCCTGTAGCGAGTAAAACTCTAACACAGAGAAGACCTGTCTATGAGGTCCCAGAACGCCTCGCTGGAGATCTTTCTTTTTCCATTTGTTTCTTCCTGGGCCTATTGACGTCACTAAATCCAAATGGACCAATTGGCACACAGCTATAGAACAATTGGACACAGCTAGGGATGGGTATCGAGAACCGGTACTAAGTCAGTACCATAGGGGCAGACCATAGGGGCAGACCATAGGGGCAGACCAGAGGGGCAGACCATAGGGGCAGACCAGAGGGGCAGACCATAGGGACAGACCAGAGGGGCAGACCATAGGGGCAGACCAGAGGGGCAGACCATAGGGGCAGACCATAGGGGCAGACCAGAGGGGCAGACCAGAGGGGCAGACCATAGGGGCAGACCAGAGGGGCAGACCATAGGGGCAGACCAGAGGGGCAGACCATAGGGGCAGACCAGAGGGGCAGACCATAGGGGCAGACCAGAGGGGCAGACCATAGGGGCAGACCAGAGGGGCAGACCATAGGGGCAGACCATAGGGGCAGACCAGAGGGGCAGACCATAGGGGCAGACCAGAGGGGCAGACCATAGGGGCAGACCATAGGGCAGACCAGAGGGGCAGACCATAGGGGCAGATCAGAGGGGCAGACCATAGGGGCAGACCAGAGGGGCAGACCATAGGGGCAGACCATAGGGGCAGACCATAGGGGCAGACCAGAGGGGCAGACCATAGGGGCAGACCAGAGGGGCAGACCATAGGGGCAGACCATAGGGGCAGACCAGAGGGGCAGACCATAGGGGCAGACCATAGGGGCAGACCAGAGGGGCAGACCATAGGGGCAGACCAGAGGGGCAGACCATAGGGGCAGACCATAGGGGCAGACCAGAGGGGCAGACCATAGGGGCAGACCATAGGGGCAGACCAGAGGGGCCATAGGGGCAGACCAGAGGGGCAGACCATAGGGGCAGACGCTAGGGGCAGACGCTAGAGGCAGACCAGAGGGGCAGACCATAGGGGCAGACCATAGGGGCAGACCATAGGGGCAGACCATAGGGGCAGACGCTAGGGGCAGACGCTAGGGGCAGACCAGAGGGGCAGACCATAGGGGCAGACCATAGGGGCAGACGCAACATCTTGCTAGAAACAGCGTCTCAAGGCTTCTTAATATTTAACAACCTATTAATGATGCATACCCACTTAACGGGAAGAAGCTCAGCTAACAGACGATATGAACCATTTGACCTACACGGAACAGAAGTCCAACACCAAGAGTCTAAATCAGGGGTCACCAACCTTTTTGTCACCGAGGGCTACTTCAAGGGTACTGAGTAATACGAAGGGCTACTTGTTTGATACAAACTTCCTGAATAACATAATTGCATGTTTCACCTTTAATGATAATATTATTATTAATAATAATCAGAATACATATTAATTTACTGTATGTGAAGGACTGTCTGATCACATGTTAATGTTAATTATTCCTCGAAATAATTATTAACAATGATTTACCATGGTAGGAAACATAGATATATTTAAACATACAATATTATTTATTTATTATAATCATAATATATAATATTATTATGTAAAGTTTAAAAAAGAACATCAACTCAATCAGATCATATTTTTATTAATCACTAAATCTGTAGCATTTTTAACAAAACAGCACATTTTTTACCCTTTTTGATCAAATTATTTTTCACATTTTTGGACAACATTTGAGTTTACCATTGCCATGGTGTTTCACTGAAAACATCTGTTATCTCTTTCATTGGCTTCTACTGTATTAGTGGGAAGTCTGGCATTGGATGCTGTCCACTAGTGTACTGTAATCTGGGGTATAATTTGACACTGCAACTCTGAGCAAATCTTGTAGATTTGCATCAGTAAGGCGTGTTCTGTGTTTGTTCTTGATGAAGTTCATGTCTGAAAAGGCTGACTCACAAAGAGAGGTTGAACCAAAAAGGCAGGCAACTTTCATAGCTGCTGTGCATACACCTTTGTACTTTTCTGTGTCCACAAGGCACCAAAAGTTTGGTGCATCCTGATGGGCTTTGAGGTGGAGGTCATTTTGCAACGTTAGGATTTCAATCTCCACCTGTCCAGCATCCACGTTGAAGGTTGCACTTAGTTGCTCAGCAATGCATGTCAGGTCCACTTGCATGAAAGGATTTGAAATGAATGACACACATGGCTCAAGTTGACCAAAGTCACAAAACCTGTTTTCAAACTCTTGACCAAGTCTGTTTATGACTTGAGAGTACTTTTCTGCAGCTTTGTCGAAAGCCCCAGATGCAGAAGCATTGTCATGCAGCACTGACTGCACAGAGGGAAAGTGCAACACTTTCTTTCCCTGTAAATGCACAGAGAATATGCTCATCATAGCTTTAAATGCATTTACAGCACTTATCATGTCAACAACAGTCTTGCCTTTGCCTTGCAGTTCACAGTTCAAATGGTTCAGTTTCCCAGTGATGTCTGTTAAAAATGCAAGGTCAAGTATCCACTCGGTGTCCTCAAGCAGTGAGGCGTCTTCCCCTTTGGATTGCAAGAATACTTTGATTTCACCCAAAAGTGACAAAAAACGCTGCAATACTTTTCCCCTGCTGAGCCATCGGATTTCTGTGTGCAATAACAGGTATTATATTATTATTATATATATAATATATTCAGCTGACAGCTCCTCTAACAGCACTTTGAATGTCCTGTGTTGTTTGGCTTTGGAGCGGATGCTGTTTATGATTTTCACGACAGGGGTCATCACATGATTAAAGCCGGTCACTTTTGCACATAATGCCTGCTGGTGAATGATGCAGTGGTAATGTAGAAATGATGGGAAGTCGGAGTCACCTTTGCATTGCGCAATGAAGCCTGCATGTCGGCCCGTCATTGCGGGAGCCCCGTCTGTAGTCACCGACACCAGCTTTTCTAATGGTACCTTCTTCTCCACGAAGAAGCTCTTGACCGCGGTGTAAACGTCAACTCCCCTCGTTGTTGTCTTCAGGGGCAGTAGTGTCAAGAGTTCTTCTTTTGTGGAGAAATCATCAAACACCATTCGGATAAACATCATCAGCTGTGCTGTACTGCTTCTGTCCACGGACTCGTCGCACTGGACGCTAAACCACCGGCATGTAGCCAGATCCCGGTCCAGCTGCTCTGTTAAGTTCCCGCACATAGCCGACACTCTTCTAACGATCGTACTTGCTCCGAGCTGGACATCGGAGAGAGTGGAGATGACATCGGAACCATTCTTCTCGTCACTGAACACAGTGTTTGCAATAACCATCATTGCCCCTTTCAAGACCTCTCCGTCCGAAAAGGCTTTCTTGTGCTTTACCAAAAAATGAGCAGCTCTAAATGAGGCTTCCGTTGCTTTTTGTGACTTTTTCACCGGCCTCGTGAAAAAAGACTGCTGCTTCCCCAAAGCTGCCTTTAACTCACGGGCTTTTTCTGCCCGTAGTGCGCTGCCAGGTGGGTAGTTAGCATTGTAGCTTTTGTGACACGTATCAAAGTGTCTCTCCACATTGTGCCGCTTTGCGATCGCCACAGTCGCCCCGCAAATGAGACATACACACTTTTCTTTCACTGTTGTAAAAAAGAATTCTTCCTCCCAAACGTCTTGAAAACAGTACCTTTTCTTTCGCTTCTCTGCCATGTTTAGGGTAAAACCCGCATCTAGCGTACCATCGTAGCTGCTCACGCTAGCTTGTCTCAGCTAAAGGTGGAACGGAGATTTGGTGCGTGGAGTTCAACTCTGAACCGCTCAGAGTTCAATTTCACACACCAAATCTCCATTTCACTTACATATGTACATACAAATTTGTGCTTTTTAAATGTTATATTCAATATTGTCATTTTAAAATAAAAATGTATTCAATATTTTTTTTAGACGGAGCTCCATGGTGACTTGTGCTATTTTTAGAACATGCACGCGGGCGACCAATTTCCCCCCTGCGGGCGACGTAGTGCCCGCGGGCACCGCGTTGGCTACCCCTGGTCTAAATCAACACTTAGCAAAACGGGCTAACGGGGCTAACGGCTACTTTAGCACATAACGAGCGATCTTTTCTACGTCATTTGATCATAAAAGCGGTTAATACAATGTCTCTGTGTAACTTTAAAATGATTACTGATAATCCATCATTACAATTATAAATAATAAACGCAATAAACTGATTATAATGGTTAGCCGACCGGAGCTTCCGGTTTAGGAGGTGCGCACGCAGCGTCTCGTTTTAACTGAATGATGATGTTTACATGGATTTATGAACTGCCGCAGCTACAGAACAATAGGTACACAGCTATAGAACAATAGGTACACAGCTATAGAACAATAGGTACGCAGCTACAGAACAATAGGTACACAGCTATAGAACAACAGGTACACAGCTATAGAACAATAGGTACACAGCTATAGAACAATAGGTACGCAGCTACAGAACAATAGGTACGCAGCTATAGAACAATAGGTACACAGCTATAGAACAACAGGTACACAGCTATAGAACAATAGGTACACAGCTATAGAACAATAGGTACACAGCTATAGAACAACAGGTACACAGCTATAGAACAATAGATACACAGCTATAGAACAACAGGTACACATCTATAGAACAACAGGTACACATCTATAGAACAATAGATACACAGCTATAGAACAACAGGTACACAGCTATAGAACAATAGGTACGCAGCTATAGAACAACAGGTACACAGCTATAGAACAATAGGTACACAGCTATAGAACAATAGATACACAGCTATAGAACAATAGGTACGCAGCTATAGAACAATAGGTACGCAGCTATAGAACAACAGGTACACAGCTATAGAACAATAGGTACACAGCTATAGAACAATAGATACACAGCTATAGAACAATAGGCACGCAGCTATAGAACAATAGGTACACAGCTATAGAACAATAGGTACACAGCTATAGAACAATAGGTACACAGCTATAGAACAATAGGTACGCAGCTATAGAACAATAGGTACGCAGCTATAGAACAATAGGCACGCAGCTATAGAACAATAGGTACACAGCTATAGAACAATAGGTACGCAGCTATAGAACAATAGGCACGCAGCTATAGAACAATAGGTACACAGCTATAGAACAATAGGTACACAGCTATAGAACAATAGGTACACAGCTATAGAACAATAGGTACACAGCTATAGAACAATAGATACACAGCTATAGAACAATAGGTACGCAGCTATAGAACAATAGATACACAGCTATAGAACAATAGGTACACAGCTATAGAACAATAGGTACACAGCTATAGAACAATAGATACACAGCTATAGAACAATAGGCACGCAGCTATAGAACAATAGGTACGCAGCTATAGAACAATAGGTACACAGCTATAGAACAATAGGTACACAGCTATAGAACAATAGGTACACAGCTATAGAACAATAGATACACAGCTATAGAACAATAGGTACGCAGCTATAGAACAATAGATACACAGCTATAGAACAATAGGCACACAGCTATAGAACAATAGGTACGCAGCTATAGAACAATAGGTACACAGCTACAGAACAATAGGCACACAGCTACAGAACAATAGGCACGCAGCTATAGAACAATAGGCACGCAGCTATAGAACAATAGGCACGCAGCTATAGAACAATAGGCACACAGCTACAGAACAATAGGTAGGTAGCTAACCCTAACCCAGCTCAGTTTCCCTGGATGCTCGATATAGATCAAGTGCCGTGCCAGCGGACACTGCAAGGTGAGTTCCTTTTGATTTCCTGCTTCTTCACACATACTCTCTCCAGTACAGGTTAGCTCTGAGTGTTAGCATGCTAATGTAAACACAGACCATATTACTTCCAGAACACGTCTCATTGTTTCTGACAGCAACGTTTCTGATTGGCCCGTGGGTGTTCCCCCATTTTTAGAGATGTGGGTACAGAGGAAAAGAGAGAGGGGTTTATTTCCTGAGACTTTGTGAGTCTCCTGACACACCGGGGACACACGGGGGACACACGGGGGACACACCGGGGACACACCGGGGACACACGGGGGACACACCGGGGACACACCGGGGACACACCGGGGACACACCGGGACACACCGGGGACACACGGGGACACACGGGGGACACACCGGGGACACACGGGGGACACACGGGGGACACACCGGGGACACACCGGGGACACACCGGGGACACACCGGGGACACACCGGGGACACACGGTGGACACACGGGGGACACACCGGGGACACACCGGGGACACACGGGGGACACACCGGGGACACACCGGGGACACACCGGGGACCCCCCGGGGACACATGGTGATGTAGAGAAGACATCAGAGTGACTTTTGAAGGATAGGAGACCTTTAACACCTGAAGAAGAAGAGTGTTTACCTGCATGGTGACGGCAGCTTCGTACACTGCAGGAACGTCTCTCAGGATTTTCTCCACCAGCGTCTTCGCTCGTTCTGCCGCCGCTTGCAGCGCCGCGGAGGGGGCGGAGCTTAGGGGGGCGGAGCGGGTCAGAGCGACCAATAGGAAGCAGAGTAGCAGGGTGGCAACTGGGGGGGGGGGACATGGTGTTAGTATTGTTGTTATTATATTATTATGGTTTTTCATTTTATTATAATCATATTTAATTATTGTTGTTGTTATTATATTATTATGGTATTCATTTTTTATTTTTTATTATAATTTTGTTTTGTTTTTAGGAAGATTTCTATTATTTTTTACATATTTTAATATAAATTATTTGACATTTTCTACATATTTTTATATTTTTTAAATAACTAACCACTGATCAACCTCCATACACACCAAGTACATTTACTCTTTTGAGGTACTTGTACTTTACTTACTTTACAGTATTTCCATATTAAGCTACTGTGTACTTCTACTCCACTACAGTTCAGAGGTACATGGTGTACTTTTCCTCCACTACATGTATTTAATACCTTTAGTTACTTCACAGATGTGGATGAATGATGTGAAATCTAATCAAGTGTTAAATCAGACTTGAGTTCCACCTGGAGTAAATCCACAAGCTACCCTGCAGTATACAAAGTCATTCAAACTAGCTGCACCTTTACCAGCTTTGAGAACACTTTCATGATCAATCATTATAAAACATATCATATATATTATTCTGAAATGGACCAATCTGCACAATGACTACTTTTACTGTACTTTCACTATATTCTGATGATCATAGCTACCTCTCTACTTGTACTTCAGTCTGAGCACTATAACCCTCCACAGAGTTACAGGTGAGTGTTGACGCAGGTCTCCTCAGGTCACTCTGGTTTCCGGTCAGTAAAGACCCCCCCCCCCCCCCTCTTTATGTCTGTGCTGGTTAAGCCCCTCCCCCGCAGGATGCTCACCTGTGGCGGGCTTCATGTCTCAGGTGTCGGTGTCTCGCGCTCTTCTCGGTTCTTCCATCTGCACGCGGGGTTTGCACCTTTTTATCTGCGCAGTGGGGGGGGTTTCCCTGCACGAGAGGGGGGGGGGGGGCGCGAGTCATCCGAAGATTTCCGAAGTGACGAAGCAGCTGTTGCGACACCGAGCTGCGCAGAGAGGCTGCGCAGAGAGCTCACCTGCAACACGTCACTGCACACCTTTATCTCTCCTTTAACAGAGAGACTCAGGTAAACAGAGGGCGTTAAATACAAACAATAAAATACACAATCAACACGTTTTCAACAGTGTGTGTGCATGTGCGTGTGTGTGTGTGTGTGTGTGTGTGTGTGTGTGTGTGTGTGTGTGTGTGTGTGTGTGTGTGTCTGTGTGTGTGCGAGTGTGTTTAATTCACTTTGAGGAAATCCAGGAAGCGATGAGTCCCAGAAACTCTTCTTCCTCAAGACGTCACAAAAACTGACTCAGTGAATTTCCTCAGTGGAACTTTTTGTTTTTGAGCAACTTTAAACTAAACACACACACACTTCCTGTTTGCAGCTGATTCATGCTTTTTAAATGATAAAATCACCTTTTTGGAGATTAATAAATTACTTTAAAAAGAGACGTAAACATTTATATTTTTCTTCCAGTTTTTAAAATAATAATTTAAGTCTTTATTATTTTAAAGTTTCCTCATTTATTTAGTGATTATTTAATAAGTGAAATAAAAACGTGTTTTATTAAAAATAAAGAAAAGAACATTTTAAACTGAAGTGAATTTGTATTTTATTTCTTAAAATTAAGAATATAAATAAATAAGAGTTTAGTTATATAGTTTATACTAAATATGAAATAAAATCTAAATTAAGCCTAAAACTCTAAATATCCAAATATAAAAAACAACTTAACCCTCCGGTATCATTCAACGTCCACAGTGATACCGGAGGGTTTAATACACAAACTACAAATATAAAAACTAAAAAAACAAATACATAATAAATAAAACCTGATTTATTGTAGGTTTTTATTTGACGTTCACTCGCCTCCGACTTGAATTAGAATAATGACTTTGTTCATTAAAACTTTATTAAAGCAGCTTCACTCTGAAACTCTCTGCGGGTTCTCTGAGGTGGTGCAAGCTGGGAACCTCCATGTGTGAGCCGTCCCTCAAGGGTCAGTCCTCAGCCCCCCCGTTCTCCATGGATCCACTCTGTTCTCCATGGGTCCACTGCTGATGACCCGTGCCGTCCCTCAAGGGTCAGTCCTCGGCCCCCCTGTTCTCCATGGTTCCACTCTGTTCTCCATGGGTCCACTGCTGATGACCCGTGCCGTCCCTCAAGGGTCAGTCCTCGGCCCCCCTGTTCTCCATACACATGGGTCCACCCTGGCCCGTTCTCATGTCATCAAATGTCCCTCCTCGACTCCCCTCCTCGACTCCTATCCTCGACTCCTATCCTCGAGACTTAGTCCCGCCCACAGGAGATGCGAGCGGAGGAGCCGAGGAGGGGAACCGAGGAGAGAGGAGGGGAACCGAGGAGAGAGGAGGGGAACCGAGGAGAGAGGAGGGGAACCGAGGAGAGAGGAGGGCAAGCAGCAGGCGGTTAGAGAAATGAGAACTCCTCTCCTCTGAGCGGTCATTTTAAAGAGACGTCCATTAATGATGACAGGAGGCACAGCAGCCCTCTGTCTGATGGACAGATGTGTTCATGACCACTTCTATATTTACTTTGATTCATTCACAGTGCGGTATAATGAGACAATAACAGGCTACACACACACACACACACACACACACACACACACACACACACACACACACACACACACACACACACACACACACACACACACACACACACACACACACACACACACACACACACACACACACACACACACACACACACACACACACACACACACACACACACACACACACACACACACACACACACATTTATATACAATTTCAGAATCAAACAGAGCACTCTCATAATAACGTAACACTATCAGAGACTGGATATATCCCCCCCCCCCCCCCCCCCCCTCTCTGGTCGCTACAATGAGGGAAATAAATGACGGGCCAAAAGTTTTATTTACAAGTAAGCAGAGGACACCAAACCAACTGAGACCTGTCTGTCCGCTGCATCTACGCACACACTGTACCACACACACCTACACCACACACACGCACCTACAGCTCCTAAAGCATCATCAGGCTGCAGCCGTTGTGTATTTTATTTTGTGAAGCACTAAATGGTTTTAGAAACATCTGGACTCTTAGTTTGTAGATATCTACTAAACTAAAGCAAAGAGAGTAGGCCTGTTACACTGAGTGATATATATGATACACACTGCTCTGCTTTCTGCACGGACCTCACAGCTGTTCTCTCTGGAAACATCGCGTCGCGATGAAAGCAGTTAATAAAATAATATCCAGGGGATGCATGCAGAGCTGTGATTGGCTGAGATCAGTCCGGCCGTGCGTCTCGACTCTTTGAAACATCACTGTTGCCGGAAATGCATCCAAGGAGGAGCCGTGGAGGACCGTGGAGGACCCATCAGTGTATCCTCGGTTAGAGCTCCTCCAGAGAGCCTCCTCCACGCTCGATGCTCGGTCCTCGATGTGCATTTAGAGAAATGAGATGTCCTTCAACATGGCGCGCTAAAATTCATTTCCGGGTCACTACCGGAGGACCGAGGAGTCGAGGAGTCGAGGAGGGGGATTTGATGACATGAGAACGGGCCCCTGTTCTCCATGGGTCCACTGCTGATGACCCGTGCCGTCCCTCAAGGATCACTCCTCGGTCCCACCTGTTCTCCATACACATGGGTCCACCCTGTTCTCCATGGGTCCACTGCTGATGACACGCAGCTCTCCATCAGAACACCCCTCTGCACTCTGCCGTCATCACAATGACCACCTGGAGGAGATGAAGGAGTGGAAGAAGCACAACTTCCTGCAGTTAGACAGCTCCCAGACTGAAGCTCAGGTCCATTCATCCTCCAGAACATTCCTCTCTCATCAACTGTTACCAACCTGGGTGTTCAAATGGATCCTCAAACCAACAAGCAAGACCTCCTTCGCAGTGGTGGTTCTAGACCAGGGGCGCCCAACCAGTCGATCGCGGGGAGATTCCCAGTCAATCGCGAGATGTGTCTAAAAATAGAACAACAATATTCTGTTTTATTGTTAATGTCCTATAACATAATCTTCCTGTGCCAGAATAATGCACTTGAACGCATCAAAGCTTTGTGATTGGCCGGCGTGACCCCATGTGTCGGGGCGTGGCTGGTGGGCAGTGGGCACTAGTTAGCTGACGTTGTCCGTGGCAACAGGAGTGACAGTCCGCACACACACAAGACTGCAATTATGGCAGAAGCAAAAAAGCCCAAAATATATAATTTTCACTCCGAGTGGGGAGGATGATTATTTTTGTATCTATTCCAATTCAAAGTCCATCTGTCTCTCATCTGCAATGCGAGCGTGGCTTTATCGAAGAAGGGTCATTTAGGAGCGGCATTTCAAAACAGTGCACAAACGCTACGAGACGGGATCCCCTCCTAACTCTGCCCTACGCTCCCAAAAGGTGAGGGACCTGAAAGGACCGCTCAATGCACAGCAGTCCATCTTCACCAGGCCCAACAACAAGAGCAAGGCTGCTACCATAGCATCTCATCGTGTCAGGCTGCTACCATAGCATCTCATCGTGTCAGGCCCAACAACAAGAGCAAGGCTGCTACCATAGCATCTTATCGTGTCAGGCTGCTACCATAGCATCTCATCGTGTCAGGCCCAACAACAAGAGCAAGGCTGCTAGCATAGCATCTCATCGTGTCAGGCCCAACAACAAGAGCAAGGCTGCTACCATAGCATCTCATCGTGTCAGGCCCAACAACAAGAGCAAGGCTGCTACCATAGCATCTCATCGTGTCAGGCCCAACAACAAGAGCAAGGCTGCTACCATAGCATCTCATCGTGTCAGGCCCAACAACAAGAGCAAGGCTGCTACCATAGCATCTTATCGTGTCAGGCCCAACAACAAGAGCAAGGCTGCTAGCATAGCATCTCATCGTGTCAGGCCCAACAACAAGAGCCAGGCTGCTACCATAGCATCTTATCGTGTCAGGCCCAACAACAAGAGCAAGGCTGCTAGCATAGCATCTCATCGTGTCAGGCCCAACAACAAGAGCAAGGCTGCTACTGTTAAGGAATAATTCTTCTAGATATCTAACCTTTTACTCTGACATGTGTTATCTCCTCTAAGGAAAGGCCTTGGTGCCATATGTGTTGTTGTCACCAGTGTGAGACCGGTCAACTTGTCTGGCACGTAGGGTAATTGTTGTGAGAACACTGAGGCACTTCTTTATCGGTGTTTGTGGGCTCTCGGATGTGAAATCCTTGAGGCCATGAGCGTCGGACGCAGATGATTCAGTGTTTAGTCTACTCCTTCAGAGATGTTGATTTCTCTCTGTGAACCCGTTCAAAGGTCTAGCATAGAGAGAGGTTCTTCAGAATTGACGTGGCAACTCTACCGTGTGGTCAGAACCTCTGACTCTTTGACTTGTGATGTGAATCCTCCGGCCGAATACTCTGAATAAACCCATCAGTGTTTGACATCAAAGCTCCAACTCTCACCGTGTCTCCTTCCTGAGTCGGTGACTCCATGCATTACTACACAGAAGTTTCCTCCACAAATTGGCGTTGTCGGCAGGATACCAACAGATCTTCAGAGACTGGTAAGTGTGATTTCAAATCTACATTTGGACATTGCCTTACCTGAATCTGTGATTGACGGTATCCTAAAATTATCTGTGAAGCTAAGCGGCTGTGTTTCGTTTTGGTTAATGAACATTTGGGGCTAGTAACCCCAGGGGATCATCCAGGGACTCTGTCTTGGCTGGTTCCCTCTGTGTGTGATGCTCGGACGTATGTGCCGTGCAGGCATACGCAGAGATGTTTAAAAGGACCTTAATGAGGGCAGCAGTAAAGTGGAACCTCTGTGTGAAATCAAAATAGA